TCTTTTATGAGGATTAGCCATCGTTGTTAAACCACCGAGACGACGTGCAGTAGCGTGTCCACGCGCGGAGTGGCCGACGGACCAGCGCCCACTTACGATTATTTATTTTTTTTTTAATAAAATTCATACCTCTTCTGGTAGGTATATTATAATAAACATTTCCGTAATTATGATCATTAGTTCAGTTTGAAATGTAAATATATTTTTCAATTGTTACCTATAATGACGTTATTTTATGTTCTCGCGAGTTTAAACATAAAGTTGGTCCACCCATACAATTTTGTCCACACACACTACTATTACGACTATACAAGTAGGTATATAACATATTATGTATCAGCACTGAATCAATTATGTTGTTATGTGACATGCCAACATTGCCAACACAAATTATTATAAATATTAAAGCAGCATGATTTAAAAAAAAAGAAAACTATAATTCCCCCCAGTAATAATAGAGCTATATAAAATATGCATTCGAAAGATAAATACTTGGATAAATTGTAGATACCTATTGGCTATGTATATATTAGTTCTTATTACAGAGTGGTAGCGTGTTTGTATAATATATAAGAGGGTGTCTTCGGTGACCGGTGTTATAACGCCTCCCACATATTGAAAATCGCTTAAATAATGTATAGTTGCTGAGTTATAATATAGCATTCACGGTTGTTTGGGACGATTAAAAAAATTATTGAAAGAACCAAATTAACCAACAGAAACAAGATAAGTAAGCATTTAGTTCATACCTAATTTACAAATAATTATAATTAGTAATTACAATTTATTTTGTACCTATTTTTATGGGTTCTTTGCAAGACACTTAGTTTGGGTTTAAAAGCAACACTCCACCAATTTTTTCTTAACTGTCATCGAATAAGATATCTAAAAGGCTTATGTATCTATTTTCTTTTTTTTTTACCATAGTCGGGTTTAATAATATGACGTCACAGTTGTACAAACATTGCATTTTATTTTCACTTGGTACCTACTTATAAGGTTTTTACTGAGTCTGTAAAAAATACATACATTATAAATTATGACTATAGTTACTAACAAATCGTAATATTAAACCTTATGTTGTCGAGCATTCATGATTCGTATCAATTTTAATAATAAGTAATTATAATTTATAATATATAATTGTAGGTGTACAATACCTATACCTATTATACCTATGTCTTGTATGTTGTAAGTTTAAGTCCATGCCTCCCCGACTCTCGATATACTATACTTATTGAAATGTGTAATTTTGGCTGTAGATATTGAACATATTTGAAATAATGTTCATTAATGTATTCATATATAGGTACTCATCACAAAATTAGGAGTCCAACCCACCCACTATCGTATACGACTGTTCTGTTTAGTTAACATTTCATAAAAAACCCCATCACAACCAAAATATGTTTCTATGCTCGTTGATTTTTACTAGTGGTAGTTTAGTTTTTTTAATTGAGAAACCGTCATCCCTTATGTTAATGAAATTACTTATATCTGTCAATAACAATTCACTAATCGCAGGTAAACACACTTTTGCAATAAATTATGAGTGATAAAGCCCCAAGTATATAACAATATTAGTACGACGTCATTTGAGTTTACAAATCGTGCATTTGTTCATAAATATTCTTACCTACTCGTATTTAAAATGTACAATATTAAGCAGTAAATTGCTTATAAATTATAATATTTTCCAAACAAAAATGTGTCGTTTATTAAATCAAACAACATTTTATTGAAAGATTTAAGTTGATAAAACAGTTTCCTTAGATAAAAAAAAGGTCCCGGAGAGGTTATCAATCATCAAGTTTTCAGCCGGGAATCAGTGAATGCTGTAACTCTGTAAGTTTACTTTAACGAGACATGACAATATGACATGTTGTTTTAATTTTTGAATCAAACGTCTTCTATACTTATCCGATGTAGATGATAAATGCATTTACGTACGTCTACATACATGTATGGGGATTAAATAATTGTGTTGGTGCGGATCCTTTTTATTTGACAGGTCATAATTGCTTAGTGATTTTCGCTCACATATAAAATTAAATTATATCGTAACGATAATCCGAAACACTGTCATTTTTTTCCCCGAGGGTTTATGGTAGGCACACCTACGTACACGGAGCCTACGCAAAAATCGGTAAAATATAATAATAACAGCTGTGGTATCGTATTACCACCAAAGTACTAATTATATCCAATAACATAATAATATCAATAAAATTGTCACTTTATCGTGTGTCACGCACACCTGACTTCTATCGGCTAATAATTATTGTCAACGGCTTACTTCCAATGACTAATAGGTAGGTAGTAATGTAGTATAATAATAATATTAAATGCATCTAAAATAAAAAAAATTATTATTATTTCTATAGAAAATTACGTATAATATTATAAAATCATTTTTTAAGTAATTTTGTACGTACGACCTATTGGTCGTTTTGGTAGTATTTTTTTGGTGAGCCGACTTATGTATCAAACCCCTCCCCCTTCATAACAAATACCTATCATCAACCAGAGTAATTAATGTTTAATAAAAAGCAAGGCAGCACGAGTAAACCAATTTAAACTAACCAACACAAGCAACTATTCGAACAGCACAGCAATATAAATTAATATTATAACGATTTAATTATGGCTGTAACAATAACAACTGATTATGTGTTTTGTTGTTGAACTGCTGGCTGACCATAATACCGCATCTATTTTTAGTATCATAGGCGATGAAAATGGCGCAGGGGCATAACTAAGGGGGGATGGGGGGATAGATGGGGCCCCAGGACAAATTCCTAATTACTCCACTATCATTGAGTACATTTGATTGTGTGTGTAATTTATGTAGGTACCTCAAGTACAAAATCAGAGCCGATTTGAAATTCTTATCTGTTAATCGCTATTTTTGGTAATAAACACTAAATGATATCCACATATAATATAATAAATGATAATTCATAAAGACCTAATCAAAAAAAAAAAAAATAATAAGTAATAATAAATAAAACAATAGTTAATACATAAAAAGTACCTGTTCATGTGCCTGCCCATTAACGCTACTTTCTGTTATAATAAACCTTGTATCAAATTTACCCATTGTACTAACTGTGTTGTATAGATTGTAAATAAAATGTTAAATCAAAAAAAAAACTTAGTAAAGAAGAATTTTTTCTCAAATAAAATTATAAATACGTTAAAAAATACAATCGAAATATGTATTATCGGTGAGCCAACAAATATACTTTTTGAGTAGGTACCTATTATTTACTTCAAAATTGGCCACCCCACTTGCCTCACCCCTTAAACCGCCACTGGTAAGACAGAATATCCTTTGAAGACACATCATATCACTTGTATTCCTTTACAAGTAATTATTAGCTTGACGTGTGTATATTTAACAAGCTAATCCTCCACCAAATCTAAGTTTTACTCATACATATATAGTATATATTTTGAATGGATTAATTCCGTCAATCCAAATTTTTTTTATCTACATATCATGTTGCCGTGTGGATTAATTTATATGTGCTAAATAGGCATGTTATGACCTTGTTATATAGTACATGCTTATTTACAATGTACGTATATAATATAATATTATCCAACGACCCGGCAGGATAGCGATAAGTATAAAAATAAAAGTGTGCCTTAAAATACACATATAATCGAAAACTGCCCTACCATAATTACAGAAATCAACAAAAAATTGATTGAGAAAGCATAGTGAATTTAGTTAATTAATTAATAGTTAAATAATAAAGTTTTAAAATAAGATAATCTAATTGGAAATTGTACGTAGAAGTGTATGGTGTATTTTCAAATCATTTTTAAAAATATCACCAGAGTTATAGCCAATTCAACTAGAAATTATTGTAGCATATTTTCAACATTTTATTAGATAATATTCCCCGCGGGTAACATTACAATGCACTATCTGACACCACTGGAAACCAATAAACTAAAAAAAAAATAATAATACTAATATCTACTATTACTATTATAATCTGCCAAAAAAAAAAAGAAAAAAAACATCATTGTAAAACCAATATGTTCCCGAAATAATAAGGTATTATAGGTACTGGATCATATAAAATGTCAAAATAATATTGAGAGAAATATTCTTTTTATTTAAATAATAATTAAAAATAGAATCAACCAGAGAGTTACTAATAATTAGTAAGTAACATGAACATATATTTGTAAGGTTATTGTGTCCTTACTTAATAAAATTAGGAATAACTGCGTGAAAATAGTATATGAAAAAAGTATATTTTATAATATATAAGAAAACAAACCAACAACGACAAACACATTAAATTAATTACATTACTATTAAATTCTTATTATATAGCTTCCTTTTCAAAGTTAGTGTGACCACATTATATTCCCTACATTACTCCCCTCCAAGAGACGGAGTCGGGTTTACATAACAAAGAATACTGCGGTTATACATACAAATAATAATTAAAACATATCAAAATACATAGTACATAAAACATAAAAATGTACCCTCATTCAGTTCTTATGATAAGTTAAGCTAAAAAAAAAATCAACATTATACTTATATAAAACAATATATAGTAAAATTATTACCAATACAATGAATTATAGCAACATTACACTAAATTGTTAACTTGAGTATCAGATTTTAAAATCCACTGCCTTAGTATTTTCCTTTTTAGTAGCTATTTCTGCCGAGTATGAGTGGTCGTGTTGCGTTGGATTCTCATATCGCATGAACGCAGGCTTAAGTCTGTCCACAGATATATTCTTCTCATTTCCATTCACATCCACCATAGGCGGATATTTGGTTACATCCGTGGGGGGGCTTAACATTTTTGTCTTATCCATTAGCGTAAACATACATTTTTAAACGCTTCAACCTACTAACTAGTGGCTACTTAGTACTCCTACTTTATTATAGCAGAGGCACCAAGTTTATATAGGTATAGGTATATTAAAATACACAATTTATTCGACATCTAGTGTGGTTTGTTTTAAGTCCTCCCCAAGTCCCCCCAATATCCGCCTATGACACCCACCTTATAAAACTTCTTCGAACGCTCGATTACTTTGAATAAACCATCATATGGCATTTGCAACGCTTTCCTTACCGCATCATGCCTTATGAATACATGAGATGAGGACTTAGGGTTTCCCCATATAAATGGTTTCATTTTAGTATTGTATATGGCTAATACTGGTGATATTACGTTACATTTTTCCTTCAGTCGTGTTACTAATGTGAAAGGTAATATTGCTGCATTTTCTCCAGTAAAGAAATCACGCGGTAACCGTAATACCTGACCATAAACCATTTCAGCTGGTGTTACCTCATAGTCCCCCTTCAAAGCACATCTTAATCCTAATAATATTGTAGGCAAAATGCTTACACAGTCTGCTTTGCCATAATGGTTTGCTTCAATGTCCTGTGGAAGCGTTATATCTTTCCATTGGCTTGTGGGTGACACGGTGTTGTACACGTTCTGTTAATACCTAGTAGGTTTGTAAGCGCAGTAAATAAGTTGCTCCCAAATGTTCTTCCCTGATCTGTTGTAATCTTCTCTGGTGTTCCATATCTAGCAATCCATCCACTAAAAAATGCTTCTGCGACTACCTCTGTAGTCAAATCTGGCAATGGTATAACCTCCGGCCAACTAGCATATCTGTTAATACAGGTAAGACAGTATTTGTTACCTTTTACTGTAACATATCTCAACTTTTAGAGCCGTTTTTTTTTATACTTAGCGTTTTTTTACACAGAGTATGGTAGAGTGTTTTTGTTGGGTACATATTACATATTATATACCTATGCAGGTACCAACCGATAAAATACACTTATAAACCTATATGTAGGACCTGCAAGAGAAATTTTTTTGAAAATTGTTGTTCGTATACATATTATTAGAAATGACGACCATGTTGCGGTATTGTACTAAATATGTATATATTTATATTTATATACTATAAAAGTTTTGACGAGTAAAACGATGTACCTATGTACTATGTAGGTAGGTATGTAATATAATATACCATCATATACTATATTACGCAAAGATAAAATAACTTACACATCAGTACATCCTCTTGCAGTACCCTTAACATTCAACGTTGCGTATGTGGTCGTAATATTAAAACTTAAACTATGATATATAATACGTAGTATGTACCTACATAATATATTATAATTTATACTTCGAGAGAGAAAAAAATGTCTCATTTTAGGGATGAAAATGCTTATCAAACACGCTAAATATATGCACGCGAAAGGCTGCAGCTTAAAATTTGATTTTTGTTTTGTGTTAAAATCGTATATATTATATTATATAAACTATAAATGTATAACCAGCTGCAGCAGAGGAACTAAATGCAGGATTCCTTGGTGAAACCTACGGAAAAAAATTATGCACAGAAGGTATCTTGTAACTATTGTACTAATATAAAGCATTCACCCTATAAGATACATATAGGTAATATATATTATATATCCATACATTTATTCATATTTCCTGCAAGCAGCCCATGGTGCAAAATTTCTGAAAATTATCTTTGGTGGCGTGGGGTGCGGGGATGGACCCATTACGATATAAGATTATTTGGTAGTGTACTTTAAAATGTTTATAATATACTGGTTCATATATCCTAATGATAATGTTGTCAAAGATATTTTTTATTTTATTTAAAAAATATAAAATAAACGTTATTTTAAGAAGATTAAATAACATAACACGTGAAAGGTATTTACTATTGAGAGAATATATATACCAGGGGTGGTCAAACTTGTTTTGATTAAGATCTACTGAGGGTATATTTTTTCTTTTAGGATCGACTAATGTAAAAAAATTATTTAATATTAATAATAAACATACTTATATAAATAATAAAATTAAAGTGTTAAGTTATCTAAAATGAGTGTTTCTTGTTAAATTTTTAAGTAATTTTAAAATGTATTAAAATTTTACTGTTGATGTAGAAGCGTGTCATTGCACATCATGACCAAGCGAAGACGCTGTGCTAAAGTCTAAAACTAACCTACTTAGCTTCTATAAATTATAACTTTCATGTGAGAAAATGCCATTTCACACTAACAGGTTAATCCAAAACATATGTATTTAATAAGTAAATCTACTAAATTGCAAATATATAAGAATAATTAATAAATTCTAACAATGGGGATCGACTTAGAAATCGCGATCGACTGCTTGGCCACCCCTGATATATACTTATTAGTTATTTACATACATATTTCTTGTCTAATGGATGCATGAAATGTATAATAAATAAGTATTAATATGTCATATTTTGAATTTTTCAATATTATCCTGTAGATTTTATTTTCATATAAATATAGTTCTATAAACTCTAGCCTAGTACAAGTAAATTGAATTTGAAAAATAATACGTCATTATACCTAGAACAAATTGTACTTTTATAATTTAAGTGCATTACTATATTATAAATCCGATTTATGGTAATACATTGTACCTATGTATATCGTTGTAAATTGTATAATGGCGTTTCTAATACTGCATACACTAAGTATAAGTATCTCAACTTTAAATAATAAATACATGGTTGAAATATACAGTTATTGCAAATTGACTAGGATTATTATCATCAGAAACAAAATATCTGCGTAAAGGGATATCACAAACATCATTTTTTCTTATCATCAAAAATACGCTGACAAAAACTAACAAATTCAAAATTCCTGCGAACATATACTTGGTTATTGTTGGCTCCATTTACGCTGCCATTTTTATTTTTATCATACATTTTTATGCAATAACCTTGTATATTTCAACCATGAATAATTTTATAAAATCATTTCTTGAAATAAATTATCTTATGTGATTAGTACATTATTTTAACCACAAGCAATATTGTAATATAATATACCTCTAAATACAGATAAACGCGTTCATAAGTCAATGAAATATAAATTTTAAATCTGTGATACGTACCCGACCCTTAGAATTCGGCAACTGTGGCCATTGACATGGATTTACATGAAATATTATTAAAACATTAAGACTCAATTCACTGTCCCTAGTATGGCTGTATGAACAAAATGTACAATGTTTAAACATCATTTTGTTTTTATATAAGAAATTTGTGTTTTTTTTATCGGTTTGACGAGTCACCTAATTGAAAAGATTCGCGAACAGGAAATTATAGGTTCGAGGAAAAGTTGTCATCCGCGTAACTTTTGTATAGCCATTATAAGTTCTGACCATTTATAATTCACTTTTAGACGTGTCTTAAAAGTCGATGATTTTCCCTCAAATGAATAACTTTCGATCTCAAAACATATTTTACTATATATATTCACAAACGCGTTAACGCGTTAGTCCTTTACACATTTATGTTTATATAATAATATTTATACGACAGTCACATTTCATTCAAGACGAGCGACATCAGAATTTATTATAATATTTGTCTTATATGCGAAAACGTATACCATATAACGTCATAAGTCATAACCATTTAAGTAGGTACCTACCCATATTTATACATCGAAAATCACATTACGTAAAGGCGCTTACAGCTTTATTGTTTGAAACAATCTTGTCAATTTATTGACGATCAAATATAACATAGTATGTATAACTTATGAATACCTAACCTTATTTATAATATATAAGCATGTTTGTGGTGTATCAACAAGACCATGATGTAGGGCAGTCATGTAGGGTATGTATTATTATAAAAATGAAATGTAAATTATTGTTTATATCACTGCATGTATGCATGTGGTTTTAGATATACTTATGTACTTATTTCGTAATATTTTGTATAGCACTGTCATAAACAATAAATCGGTTGCTTATTTATGTTCACAATATATTTTCAAGAATATTTATCATAACTTTTATTATTATTATTTATAATTATAATATATTAATATTCGTACCTAATTGAAGAAAAGGCTGGTTTGATAAATAATTGTTATATTATTTGATATTTTCAGAGACGTATTTGTTTTACTATAACATTTCCTAGCAAAGACTTCTCACTAATCTAGGCACCAACTAGAAATGTTCCGGGTACTCGATATCATATTTAAGGCTCGGCTCTTACTCGGTACCAGGCTTAATACCTACATTTTTACCCGGCCCTTACTCGGTACCCGGCGAAATGCTACATTTTTTACTTGACTCACATCCAATGGAAAACGCTGATAATCATCTATTTATAAATATATATGCATACCTAAAATTCTAAAATTCTAGGGTAATAAATTATAATTAATTTTGGTACATATTGGAATAACTGGACCGATTTTTTTTTTTTTTTTTTGGCCAGTTGATTATAAACAATTCATGCTTTTCTTCTACGAATTACAAAAATGAATCTCGTGTTTACTGTCTAATCTTTATATAGTAGTTGGTACTTGATACTTTGATAATAGTATAATACCCATTTTGTATTTACATGTGTACTCGGCCTATACTCGATACCCGGTTACTATAAAAAAATTTACTCGGCCAGTACTCGGTATCCGGTGACCGGTTTAATACTAGATTTTATACCCAGAACATCTCTAGTACCAGCTACTTGCAAGTATTTTATTTTATTTATTTTTATTTATTATTCAAGAAGATAATGGGCTCCACAGGACATGTTCGTGTGGGGGCCCAAACCCCAACCTATACCTATACCTAACCTATTATTGTCTTAAACTGATTCAATTGTCTTATACTATACAAATAAAATCGATTGATTTCAAGTTAATTTCATAGCCATTACGGTTAGTTCAGTATTGCAAATATTTAATTCGATATGTGGACGGACTATATTGGTTTTTAACATTTTGTTCTTTTATAATATGGTGTATCCTTTGATATACATGTGTGTATTGTATATGTATACAATAATATATACATATTTTTTAATACATAATATATTCACTATTTGGCTTCGGGAACAAATTGATTAGCCTACAAATTACAATCAACGCAATAATTATAGGTAGGTATATACAATTCGTACAATATGTTTAAAGTACAATATTATTTAAGGTACTGCGAACTAAAGTAGGTGTTGACCAGTTGCCCCCCACGGCTGTTATCAGGATTTTAAAAATATACCAGTTGCCCTCAACCAAATGTACCAGTTGCCCCCAACCGAATGTGTAAGTACATATTAAGGCGGGTTTCCACTATACACGTTTGCCGTGTAGACGAAAAATGTTCAGGTATGTCCAACAACACGGTATCGTGGTTAATCGTGTGGTAACTTAACATAACCAACCAATCACATCAAAGGATTTGTATGCACGTGAACGCGTACGTGTATAGTGGAAACCCGCCTT